AATGTGTAGTGTGACTCAGTGAATCAGCATTTAGACCTGAAGCTCACTTGAGTTGGCCAACAACAAATGCCATGCTAGAAGGTGTCTCCTTTCTTGCATAATCCATTCCCTTCTTCACAGGTCATTCCCCCCTACCCATGAGGGTCACATTCGCCTTCCATAGATGCCAGATGTGGATCCTAAATAGCTTTTCTTCCAGTTCCCTGCAGAGTAAGGACAAAAAGGACTTGGTTTCCTAGTAGCCACCTTGCAGACCTCTCCCCATTCTCCCCAGAATTCTTGGGGAATACAGCAACCATCAAATGCTTTCTTTCCTGAGCAATCAACCACCTAGACCCAAGACTTAAGGACAAGGTTGTTGAATGGATATTAGCACTCTGCAAGGAGCTAGTCCTCTCAGCTGCTCTTCAGTTCATGATGATATTGAACTAGATGGATTTTCCCAGTAGGGACAGCATATTAACACCCTACATTTAGTCCCTAACATTGTCAGTTAAACTAGGGGTACAGAATCTCACCCCCCCTGGGCCAAATCAGTAGGGCATCCACTAGTTTTCCTCAGCCACCCCCTGTTCCCCAACCACCAATCCTATGATGGTCTCCCAGCATTTGTAGTTTTCTCCCATTCTATAAGGTTGAAATGCCTCTCCTGAGGCATAGTTACTAACAGTAAGAGCTTTACGCTAAATTATTTGTCCTCAGCATCATCCGCCACTGCACTGACACCCCCGAGAGCTTCTCCAAAATGGAATTTGGCCTTCAGGTTGAAAGAATTTCAACACCCCTGAAGTAAAGGACATGAGGTAGCAAGTAATGGGAGGGATCCTTGCCAGAGACCTGAAAGAGGCAATACTGGTTAGTGTAGACAATACAGGCTCAGTTGCACCAAAGACTGAGTGCTGGCACTTAGCAGCTTTATATGTTCACTAAGCTAGTGTAGTATGACAGTTAAATGCTGGACTGGGACTCAGGCATTCTCGGTTCCGGTCCTTACTTGGCCATGAAACTCACTGGGTGACTTTGGGCCAGTTATTGACTTTCAGCCTTCCTCACAGGGGTGTTGTAATGATAATAAAGGATAGAAGGACCTAGAAGTTGCCTTGGGTTCCTTACAATTGGGAAAAGCAGGATATAGATAATATATAATAAATAAATACTATATAAAGGATAAATAGGACAACAGCCCTTCCTGCTTATCCACAATATTTGATACTCAGAGGTGTGCTCATTCTGAACATGGAGGTTTTTTTATTTTATTTATTTATTAAAACATTTTTATGCCGTCCCATTCGCCGAAGCCTCGGGGTGGCTTACAACAATAAGTTAAAATAATTATAATATAAATCAAAAATATAAACATTAAATTAAAAATACAAAAATACAGTTTTACTTGGTTACCATGGCTTATCATTTTTGATACACTTGTTCTTACCCCTGGATTGTCTGATTCTCTTTTTAATGCCATCTATTAGAATAAAAGAATTCTTGTCTTACTGAAAGGGCACAGTGGAAGAGAGGCTGTTTGCCCTGCGGTTCCTTCAGGCTGTCTCAAACAGTTTGTACAGCAGTTTGTTAACATTTTAATTCACTGTGCTGCTAATTTGCTAGTTGAAACATGCTAATTCAGCAACTCAGCACTGCAAGGAAATGCAGGGATGCTTTTGTATCCATTTGTAAATATCCATTGGGTGGTTTTGCAGGCAGATTAACTTGCAAATAAATTGTGCTAAAATGGAGATAAAAGCATGAAAGTGCAGTCCAAACACATCTGTACTCAGAAGAAAGTCTGAGTTTAGCAAGGCTTACCCCCCAAGCGAGTGGGTAAATGATTGCAGGTGGATTTTTAAAAATTGAGGGTGGGTCATGATTTCCATTGTTAAATGAAACTGTGAATATCCAACTACAATACTTATTTAAGGCAGGGCTAAAGCCAGCTTTCCTGGCTAGGTGGAACTGCCACATTTCCTGGAGTAGCTTCAAAGTAACGAGTGGAAAAGCAATCAGTAATTTCCTCCTAACCAACATGAACTTATATAACAGTCTTGCCAAGCCCAAGTTGTGTCTATGTGTATTTTAGGGCCAAAACATACATTCCTTTAACTTTTTATCTAGTGACTATATCTTTTGTTCACTGTT